AGAAAAAAAACAATTTTCAAAATTTCAAAATAGTTATTAGCGATGACTTTTCGACTCTAAAGGTATGCTTTTTGAGACGACTTATGTGGTCTCTAAAAGCTTCGTCTCTAAAATACTGTTTTGTTGTAGTGTGTATAGGAAAATAGAAAAAACATGGAAACCATAGAAACCGGTTGACCCGGCGGTTGAACCAGAAACCTGTCACCATACCGGTTCGACTAAAAAACTGGTTTTTAAAACATTGATTGTTGATGACTTTGTTGGTCATTAGATGTGGTTTATAGTTGTTTAGGCAACCTTCAAAACAAAGATTAACAATGAATGATGCCATGATGTCATAAGCCTTTGGAAAAACAAGGTGCTAAGAGAAGAAAAAATTAAGATTAGGCATGTTGAAACAAAGCTATGTACTAATAAAACATTAGATACCAACCTTCTATTTAACTATAAATAATAAGTAGTCCATGCAATGCACATAAGAAAGAAGATAGAGAATCCATAAAGGAGGTTTCTGGTTCAAGTCTTCCTTGCACATTTTAATTAGGAAACAAATACCCAGCAAAACATATAGTTATAGGAGCGATTAAACTGCTAACATAGGAATGGACGCATATAAGTAAACAATATGCATGGTATATGGCCATCCACTTAATTAAAAAGGTTCTATTTAACATGTATGCTTGAATAACATGCAGAGAGGAAGGGAAACGCCGCATCCTTGGAAGCCACGAGCAAGCACATGATAACTGGTGGAATCTGGTCTATACCCGTTGCGCATCATTTCCTGAAACATGTATAATGCATTCCAAGGTTCCCCTCGTAGACAATACCCATCAATCAAAGTCCTATAATGCATTTCCCAAAGCTTCATTTTCCTACCTTTCGTCCATTCTTCTACCAACTCCATCGCATCTTCCATTCTTCCTAGTTTACATGCAGCATCAATCGCAGAATCAAACGTGACTCCATCAATGAAAACCTTTGATGATTTTTGCATAAATTCCTTGAAAAAAGATAGAGCTTCATCAAGACTTCCCACACCACACAAGTATTGCATCATGCACCTCATAAGCACATAATCGGCTTCAATACCTACTCTTGATTTCATTTCATCACAGAGATCAAATGCCTTAGCAGTCTCCCCTTTCTTTAAATACTCTAGAATTAATGCACCATAACAATCTTCATCAGGGACAACTTCTCTAATCTTCATGTCATTAAGTAACACATCTTCTGCATCTTGTATCTTCCCCTCTCTTACAAAACCACGAATGACACAAGTATATGCAAAAACATCAACCGGCTCATTCAAGTCCCTGAAAGCCTTTACCGTCTGAAAGGCTAAATCAGTTTTCCATTTCCAGCAAAGCTCGCGGATATACGTGCCGATAATGAAAGCATTAGGTTTGACTCCAGCCTCTCTCATTTGTGCAAATATATTCCAAGCTTTTTCCAAACGACCCATACTAAAACGTCCTTTAATCAGAATCTCATATGTATACACATTCGGAATCAACCCTTTCCTCTTCAGTTCTCTGTAAACCGACTCTACCATATGCTCTTTCTCCCACTCGATCAACTCTTTTAATACAAAATTACATGTTAGTGTTGACACCATAAGTCCAGCCCTACTTCTCATCTCCGACAAGGTGTGCATCGCCTCCTCAAACCTTCCAACACTTGCATACACCTTAACCAACACATCCACAGCTTTTATCAATTTTTCCTCTATCAACGCTTCTAAAAGATCGGAGATTTCAAAAGCAACACGTTCCCTGTTTATATTCTGATCAATGACATACATAAACAAATGATTTAACCTTACACCCATACCCGAATGACAAAGTAATCGAATGATTGCCATGTAACTTTCAACATCATGTTTAAAACCAAACACTTTCAATTCACGGGCAAATAACAACGCACTGTTCCTTTCTCTCTTCGACTGGTCTAGGGTTGCAGTTACCTTAAACTTACCGAGTTTTTCATACGGATGACATAACACATTGGTATCCGAGGATGAGCCTGACAAGTCGGAGCATGTTGTATAGGCAAGCAATCTAACAGATTTCCAACGGATATTAATCCTGGAACTTTTTACCAAATTACAGCAATAACCCAACCGGGTAAAAGGAGGCCACATGGTGTTTAATTTAGGTTTTTCTTTGAAAGGAAAATGGAAAACTTATTTTGAATATGATCGTTCTCAAGGAGTTTGGATCTAGGAAACAGAACAACACTGGTAGCCTTTGCAGGGACTAGGTGGGAGTGAAAGAGATCAGAATCAAGAACACAGCCGATGGGGCTGATCGCGGCGGAAGTTTCCAAGATTTGATTTAATTTCCATATGAGTAATGCGATAACTATGGAAAGGATAAGTATTCAATAATTATATTATATAATATAATTAATAACTATTTATGATATAAATAATGCTATAATTATGGTAAAGATAACCATTCTATATACGATAAATGAATTGAATTGAATCCACATACGTACATAAGCCGAAAATTTAATTGAATCCATAAATAATGCTATAATTATGGTAAACCTTTTAATCGCAATATGATTGTATATTGTTATATTATCATGGAATGGATAAAACTGGAATGGGCAAACAAAATGTCCACGTTCTTACCAAAGGGCCAATGATCTAGCGGTATGGAGTGATCATCTCATATGAGAGGTCGGAAGTTCAAGTCTCAATGGAGACATACATGGTTAATTAGGAGTAGATTAGGTAGTTTGTCATTTCAAAAAATGTAAAACTTCTTGACATCAACTTCATTGATTGGCTAAGAAGGGTTAATTAAGATCAAAACAATGCACAGATTGTGGTAGGGTTAACCAGTTAACTAAATGTGGAATCACATTCAATCCCGACCTTGAAGAACTAGTGTCTTAAAATTTCTAACCAAACATCAACTCGTCATCCTCTTTTAATTTTTCATTAGGAGCATGCACTCTTCTCCTTCTTTTTCATTTATTTCATCACACTAGCTTGAAGAAATAGGGTCTTAAAACCACGTAGAAGTAGCTCCTTATGTTACATAGAATTGTTGGTCCCCAATATGAATATGGATTAAATAAAAAGAAAAAGGGGGTCTTTTATTGCTAAAGGAAATGGTATACGTGTGTGCTTCACATACTTGCAAATATCACATTGAAAAGACCTAACATCAAATGCCTTGAACAAAGAATGACACATTATTATTTTCAAGAGTGAAAAAGAGCACAAGGTAGATTTACCAAATTCACGTTGTCTCCACTCGACGATGTGGGAAGACGGTTGATAAAGTGTGCAAACATTGCAACAACTCACGACACACGATAACGGATGTTTTGAACTTGTTGCGTGGGTATCCAGAATGGTGAACGATAAAACCAAACAACACGGGATCTCAAACAAAGGTAGCAACCACGTGGAGTGACAGTTAATAAAGAAAAGCACTCTCCTTTCACCAAAGAAGAATATGACAAAATCTAGCAAATTTTATGAGCAATAAAATGGAAAGAAAAAACGTCGTTAGACAACATATCTGGCAAGACAAATACTCCTAAGACTTGGATCATTGAATCGGGTGAAACTGAACATATCACGCACCATGAAGGATGGTTAAAACCAACCAACAAGCACAAAGACTATTCCACCATAACTATTCTCAACTGGGAAGCTGTTTGTGTAAAAGGCATTGGTAACATCAGTTAATCAGAGATGATTTTAAACCGAAAAAATGTTTAATAAAAGACTTACATTTGAAGAACCTAATTGGGACGGATAAGAAGCATGATGGAAAATATCATCCAGAGCAATTCAAACAAAGAAAGGTGGCCTTGTCAGTTTTGGCGCATCAAGAAACTTTGCATAGAATATTAGGACACGCACCAGATGCAATCCTCATAAAGATACCAAAATTAGATAGAATAGATATATTTAATCATTAATTTTTGTGATTCATGCATTAGAGCAAAACATTTGAAGATTCGGTACCGACTCTCCTTCCATGATGCCCAAGCCTTGTAAGATTTTGTTAAAGGTTGCTTCGGGTAAGGCTTTAGTAAAGATGTCAGCCAGTTGATCAGCAGATCGAACAAAGTGAACCTCCACGTTTCCGTCTTCTACATGATCCTTGATGAAATGATACCTAAATGCAATGTGTTTAGTTTTTGAGTGTTGCACTGGATTATGATAAATCATTATTGCACTTTTAGAGTCGCAGTAGAGATGAATCTTTTTTATACTTAACCCATAGTCTCTTAATTGACTTTGAATCCAAACCACTTGAGAGGTACAAGATGCAGCAGCGATGTATTCAGCTTCGGTTGTGGATAATGAAACACAGGTTTGTTTCTTGGATTGCCAACTCACAAGTTTTCCATCAAGAAATTAGCATCCACCTATAGTACTTTTTCTGTCCAGCCCACATCCTCCTAGATCAGCAACAGAAAAGGCTTGAATGAAGAATCCTGAATTTACAGGATACCAGAGACCGAGAGATGAAGTTTTCTTCAGATATCGAAAAACATTCTTCACAGCAAGCATGTGAGGTTCTCTGGGATTGGCTTGAAACCTGGCACAGTAACACATAATATCTGATCTACTAGCTGTTAGTGTTTTGGGTTGATTCATGTTAATATTTGAGGTCTTTATCAACACCATTCATTAGATGGTGCTCATTACTTCCTATGAGTTATTGATGACTAGAGTCGTGGTGTACATTACGATATAAACTTAATGAAAACCAAATCACAAGTGGCACATTTTCTTATGTTATTTTACAATACGATATAAACTTAATTGTACATTACGATATAAACTTAATTGTACATTACGATATAAACGTTCTCAAACACTCTGTTCCAAATTAACACCCCCATAAACAATAATGTTTATGCTTCACTTCACTTCCTGATCAAGTTAACACTTAACAGCGTCAGGTTGTTGGTTGATCACCTAACGATACCAAGTGGGCGAGGATGTACATACATATATATGTGGTTCAATAACTGGCTGCTTTAACTTGGAATTACCTACCAATTACAATTATTCGCAGAATGTGTTGTTGCATATATATATATATATATATATATATATATATATATATATATATATATATATATATATATATAATATATATATATATATATATTATATATATATATATATATATATATATATATATATATAAACTAAGCAAACATTACAGGAGCCACATATGAAATTGAAAACAGTTACTAAGCTACACATTAACATGAATTAAACTAGGAAAATGCATGCATGAAGAATAACTGCCACCATGCATCTGGACTAATTCAACAAGGAAACTATTGCACACAATTAAACCAGAAAAATAAAAGGATAGACACATGCATAAGTTGAGTGTTGTAGTTTCAAAAATAAAAGGATAGATACATGACGAAAGCAATCATGTTAACAGACGATCCATCAACTTAAATAAAAAAAAAAATGGTTGTAGCTATTTGAATAACATGGAGAGAGGAAGGAAAACACCGCCACAAGCAAGCACATGATAAGTGGTAGAATCTGGTCTCAAGCCATTCCGCATCATGTCCTGAAAGATGTATAATGCATTCCAAGGTTCCCCCCGGAGACAGTATCCATCTATTAAAGTCCTATAGTGCATTTTCAAAGGCTTCATTTTCCTAAATTTCATCTCTTCTACCAACCCCATGGCATCTTCCATTCTCCCTAGTTTACATGCAACATCAATCGCCATATTAAACGTGACTCCGTCAATGAAAACCCCAGAGTGCATAAACCCCTTGAACTTATATAGAGCTTTAGCACGCCTGCCCAAACCACACAACCTTTGCATCATGGACCTCACAATCACATCATCGGTTTTAATACCTCTTGATTCCATTTCCTTACGGATATCCAATGCCTTAGCTGTGTCCCTTTTCTTACGATACCACAAATTAATGCGCTGTAAGAATCTGCATCAGGGACAACTTCTCTAAGCTTCATTTCAAGAAACACATCTTCTGCATCTTGTAGCCTGGACTCTTTTACAAAACCCCGAATGACACAATTATATGCAAAAACATCAACCAAATTATTACCCTCCCTGAATATCTTTAATACCTGAAAGGCTAAATCCGTTTGCCCTATCGAGCAAAGCATATGAATATACGTACCATAGAAGAAAGCATTAGGTTCGACGCCAGCCTCTGATTGTATATTTACAAACAAGTTCCCAGCTTCTATCAAACGACCCTTCCTACAATATCCTTTCATCAGAATCCCATATGTATACACATTAGGAATCAGCCCATTCTTCTTCAGTAGTCCGTAAACCGACTCCACCATATCTACTTTCCCCCATTCAATCAACTCGTTCATTACAAAATTACACGTTCTTGTTGACACCAAAAGTCCACCCCTACTTTTCATCTCTGACAAGGTGTGCATCGCCTCCTTGAACCTTCCAACACTTGCATACACCTTAACCAACACATCAACAGCTTTTATCAGTTTCTCCTCTATCAATGCTTCTAACATATCACAGATTTCAAAACCAACAGGTTCCCTGTTTATATTCTCATCAATGACATACATAAACAAATGATTTAGCCTTACATACATACCCGAGTGACACAATAATCGAATGATTGCCATGTAAGTTTCAACATCATGTTTAAAACCAGACTCTTTCAATTGACGGGCAAATACCAACGCACTGCTCCGTTCTCTCTTCCTCTGGTCCAGGGTCTCAATAACCTTAAACTTACTGAGTTTTTCAATCCGATGACATAACTGATTGGTATCCGGAGACCATTCTGACACGTCGGAGTACGTTGTATAGGCAAGGGATCTAATAGATTTCCAACGGAGACTCAAGGAACATTTTACGAAATTGCAGCAAGAAAACAAAGGATGCGGCATAGCGTTTTAGTCTCTGAAGAGATGATCAAAAATTCGTTTAGAAGGAGTTTGGAACGAGGGACACCGAAGTACATAACACCAATAAGATTAGGTCAGCTTTGACCGACTCAAAGCGCATGTTAGTACGATCCAGTAGTTTAGTGAAAACCACATTTCACTCAATTCTATTAAATACTAGGTCGAAACAATACATGGGTTTAATTAAAAAAATATATGAAATTTTAACAATTTGAAAAGTTTGAATTTATAAAAAAAATTAAAAAAAAATTGAATTATTAAAATTATTGAAACTTTAATGTATTGAATACATTACATATATAAACCTTTTTTAATAAATACTTTACATATATATTACCTTACACATTAAATGTGTAATTTTAATTTAATAAAATGAAAAATACATTAAAATGACAAATGGAAAATAGAAAATTTAAAAATTTTAGAAAATGACAAGTGTTCAAATGAAGGAGAAGAGGACATGTGGCAAAAAAAACCTTCATTTATTATAAGAGATGACACACCCAATCTTAATGGTTTTATTCTTTGTTAAATTAATAATCTAACCATTTTTAATGATATTTAAAAATAATAATAATAATAATAACCACAATTTTTTATTTTGAAAAATGACCACTCTATGGTTGTGGCAACGGATGAAAAAAAAAAAAAAAAAAAAAAAAAAAACCTCATATGGAACTACACTTCCATGTCCTTGAAAAGGAACAATAGCATTAGCATTCTCATTTACATTCCTTTCACTATACCCCAATCAATCCATTAATATCCAACCACTCAAATTTTTTAGTAAGTTTGTCAAAATGGAATCTTAAATTTGGATGACACCTTGCAATAGTGTACCCTGATACATATATTTCCAAAGAAACAGCAAAATGTGACATTCCATTTCCATCAATATGTTGCTTTGATCCTTATACACTTGTCTTACAGTTTGATTCATTTAAGCATAATTCTTCAATTTTTCCATTTTTGTAATTATATTGAACCTTTTAACAAACCAACCAAAAATGTAAATCACGGTAATTACTCACAGTGAAACCACTAGAAATCAACGCAATATCATATAAAAGATCAATAACTCTCAACGCCTCGTCATCACTATCATTACTCCTGCAATCCGCCTGCATCATTCATAAATAAATTATAATCATACTATTTTCTTAAATAAAATATTTATTTTAAATAAATCTTACAGTCAGTCAATGTCATAATGATTAGATGTTACTTTATGTGCTTTTAGCCTTTACAAGTAAGTCTAGGTGCAGCCAAGAAGCGTCTTGGGTGAGGCAATTTAGGAGATGGCATATCAGGAACTCAAAATCTTGTGGAATATAGAAAAAGTTACAATGGAGGTGTAATGTATTATCTATCCAAGGAGTTGGAGCCAAAAAGACATGATTTTTATGATAATGCTAAAACTTTTATAAGACAATAACATGTGCCTTATTTGAAAGAAAAGAAAGAATTTCTTTAATTTTTGTCAAATGTGATATAATGTATATTACACAAAAAAGTAATTTTTTTGGTCTTTTGATTTAGATCGTTAGATGGATATCATTTGTTTAAAGTTTTAGATTGTGTAATCTATTTAGGCTATGGTTTCTTGATTAGGATTGCATAATGTGGTTTTTGATCCGAGTATGTTTAGTTCTTAACTCCAAGCAAGCAAGCAATAATCTCAGTCAAATAACATGTTGCTAGTTAAAAATATGAAGTTCATAGTTCTCAAAAGCTAAACATTGTTCGAGAGGATCTAATTCATAAAATCAATTACTGGAAAATTGCTCAAATGAACAAAACTACTCAATAACAATAATACTTACTGAAATTAGACTTCAGAAACTCTAAAATTAATAAGTAATTAGCAAATCTTCTAGAACTTAGCATTCTTGCTAAAAATGTTTTAGTTTTTTCATGACCAGAATAGAGAAAAATGGATGGAACGTACCTAGCGATTGACGGAGCAGGGGGCGATAGGTAGAGCAGACAAGAGGATTTATAGGATTTTGGGGGCAAATCACGGAAAAGGATGTTTGTAGTTCATGTCAGAATGCTTATTAAAGACCTCTAATTTTTTTCATGAAATCTCATCAGTGGAAGTCAATTTGGAAGTTGAATTGAACTTTCATCGTGTGAGAGACAATCTATAGGTCACACTGGACTCCATCACAGATCTCAATGTCATCCAACACCATGGATACCTTTCCAGAGAAGCATATAGGGTTAATGTTGCAGAAAACTAATATAGAACACACTGCATCTCTCATGTGACTGGCCCGATGTAACGCCCGTGTTTCTAGGCTTGCCATTTTTAGCAATGTAATAGTCTAGGTTAACCTTGTAACTCAACTTGAAATAATAAGAATGTATTATTTGTGAATTATTTGAATTATATGATTTATGTGTGTATTTTCTTAATTTTTATAATTTAATGAATTAAGAATAAAATAAGCGTCAAAATTTAAGTGTGAGATAAGCCCGACATCTTTGCATAAAGTTGTAGTGGTCGAAACAAGGATTCCGGGGATATAAGGAATGCCAAAATCCGAGTTATAACGAAGAAGTTATGACCTGTCGAAGTTTCGCGACAGAACCGACACGACGCCGAGTGACGTAAAATATGAATTTAAGATAGAGCGATATTTAGCCTTAGCGATCTAAACGAAAGTCGTAGATTTCGTTAAACCGAGAGCGTGCATAAAAGGAACGCCCAAATCTGACTTCGTATGAGGAAGTTATGATTTTATGAAGTTTCGACTTAGCAGTATACAGCCCGAATACTCGATTTGAGATCGAGCGGTTTTTAGCCGAAACAATCTAAATGAGAATCGAAGATCTTGTTGTTAGTAGCGAAACGATGAAAAGTTAGGCGAGAACGGACGTCAGACGAAGAAGTTATGAATTTATAACGAAGTTTTTCTGTCCCGGCCTTCTAAAAATAAATAATAAAAATAAAAGTCAAAATTAGCCGACGGAGTCTAAATGAAAGTTGTAGAGTATGGTCTGACCTTCGCGTGGATATAAAGAACGTCGAAAACGGAGCTCGTATGCGAAAGTTACGCAATTTAGAAGTTTGACAAGTCAATTACGCCCCGCGTAATTTGAGTACGCCCCGCGTACTCAGTCGGATGCAACTTGTCTGACCAATACTCGAGTGCCACCAGTCGACGCACGCAGTGACGTCAAAGTACGCCCCGCGTAACCCGAGTACGCCCCGCGTAATTTGAGTACGCCCCGCGTAATCCCAGACCCAGCAGCCTATAAATAGAACTCGAATTCAGCCATTTTCTCTTGTTCAAACTCTTCCCTCTCTCTAAGTTTTGCCTCGATTTGCGTGCCGTTTATACCCCAAAGCCCCGGTAATATTCCCGAGCCCCGAAGTAAGATCCGAAGCCCCGAGGATCCCGAAGAGCGTTATTCCCGAGCCGAAACGCTGCCCGCGAGGAGCCCGGTTTTGTGAAGATCTTCCAGATCTACGGAGAAACACCTCTTCTGCAAGCCGTAGTGCTGCCCGATCATCTTTTGATCAAGTGAGTGTGTAGTTATTTTCATTCCAACGCAATATTATGAAGTATTTCCTATAAAATACGTGTTATGTGTATATATTGGTTGTTATACGTGTGAGTGTATATTCACTCTCTTCTATCTTATAGATCTGATGTATTCTCTATGAAATACGTGTTATGTGTGTATGCCTCATCTGTTATGTGGAATATGTATTGATTAAAACATGTTATACAGGTTTTTAAACTATGTATAAAAATGTATATTTTTATCTACTAATATGTTGGGTAGAACATGGGTAGATAATTGGTGTGTAATAAACAGATGAGAGGCCTCGGTGTTATTGGTGTTATTCTAGTCATTCAGCAGAGTATGGATGACGACCACGGACTATTCTAGACTGTCCTGTGGAACACTAGCAGGCTCATTACCTGTAGGTGTTGTGAACGACGTGTTCACCGGTGTACTCTATCCCCCACATGGTTGCCTTTAGGACACTTATTGTTGAGGAAGCCCCTCTGCAGTAATGTCCGTCCCGATGAAAAATCCTGAAATAGGTTCCTTATAATAGACGTTATTTTTAGGAACGTAAGGTGAGGATAACGGGAATGGGTAATCGGGTTTATTGTTGATTGTTGAAATTAAATATAATTATTGTGGGTTGAAAACCCTATATGCTCACCAGGCTCCCAAGCCTGACCCACTCAGTTGATTTATTTTACAGGAAGTGGCGCAAGAGCTTAAGATGGGCGAACATCAAGTTGTTTTGTTTACAAGTCTGTATATGTATATATTTGTTGAATGACTTGTAATGCTATCGTTTATGCTTTATGATCTGTATCGGAACATGACATCCCGACTTTTGATTATGAAATGAAATCATATTTCTTTATGAAATGTTTTGATAAATATCTATTTTATCATGTTTTGTTTTTGGGAACAAATTCCGCATCTCTTTTAAAATTAAAAGGATTTACTCTGAAAATTATTTTAAAAAGCATAAATGAAATCGGTCTTTTCTGGCCGAGATTTTGGGGATGTCACAGTTGGTATCAGAGCATTAGTTTAAGCGAATTAGGAATTTGTAGGATTTCTAAACTTAAACTTAGGATGCTAAGTGGAGATTGCGAGGTGTGTGTCTGTTGGATCTTAGACACAAGCACTAGTTTATTTTAGGAAAGTTGCCTAAAATGCTTTTATGTGCTAAATGTTATATGTTGCCATATATGATATTATTTGTTCGGATCTATGGTTTGTTGCCAACCGGATCTGAAGGTTTATGTGTTTAGGATTCTAAGCGTATGTATACGATATTAGAACTAGCATGTAATCGTTTGGAGTAATAAGGTGAAATTATTCGGTGTATAGATCAAAATGGTGAGAACAAGAAGCGGAGTTGGAAATGCTAATGAAAACAGGAATCAACCGCCTGTAATCGAGCAAGTACCTGTCGTAGCTGCTGCACCTGAGCCGATAAC